ATTATTTTAAAAGCAAATTTAATTGAAATTATTTAATAAATTATTATTTAATTCAAAATTTTATTTTTATTCAATTATGATACTTAATTCTTAGTGACTAATTTTGTAAGAGACTATTTTATAATTGTTATTTTAGTAACGAAATCACTGAATACTAGTATTTATTGAAATTTCAAAAATGCCCTTCTTTTATTTTTTGGGATATGTTTTTTTAAGACTAAAAATTTTGTCACACATTCAATTTGTGACCTCTTTGTTTTGTCATTGGTAATAATAGTTGTAACAAGTTTTTTGGTCACAAATAATTCTAATTGTGACCAACATGGTAGTATTTGTTTCATTTTTTTTAGTCACAGATAATTCTAATTGTGATTAAAAGGAAACGTCACAAATGATTTAATATTAGTAACCAAATTTTATGTCACAAACAATTTCTTTTGTGACGAGTTATACGTGTTACAAATGAGGTTCCTTTTTGTGTCTAATTATTTTGTCACAAATAGTCATCATTGTGACGCAAAAATTCGTTACAAATACAATAGTAATTGTATCCATCTTCACCGTAACTAAAAATCATGATTTGTTGTCACGAATCCAAAATTAGTTGCTATTACTTTTAGTAACTCAATATTTGTAACGGACAGTGACCAACCAAATTTTAGATACAAATATAATTTGTGACCAAAAAATTCAATTTTCATGACTAATTTTCCTGTCACAGTTAACCCGTTTCCTTGTAGTGGCTATTTCTTTGCAAAATTGTGCTCAATTTCATTAGAGTCATTTTTCATAAAATATATTTAGGTAAAACAAGTATCATCACCAATAAATAACATAAAATACTCAGAACCCCCATGATGGACGTAAGAAATAGACCTCAAGTGTCAGAATGCACAAGATCAAAAGGAGTAACAGAAAGAAAATGACTGCTTGAAAATGATCAAAAGTCATAATGATTAAAGATTATAACTAAGTTTTGAAACTAATAGAAGATTGGGTAAAGTCAATGACTTTATAAAAATATTGTCACTATATGACTAACTTTCATAACGAAATCATTATTCTAACAACTGATAGTGTAGTTGGCGATGTGTCTATTAGTCTATGTCGAACCTCGTGACCATCCACCTACTAGGATTTTAGCCTTTTCCCATTTGTCCACGTAGTACATCTCATGCATATATGGCTACCTAACATGTTAGGATTGATATTTTATTTATACTTAAAAGAATAATATAGGC